AGTTTATCGTGTCGTGTGAACCCATATTTTTACAGCTACCAAGAGATAATAGCACAATAATCTATCAGGAAGCTCATCGAGATTCTGTTCCTCAACAAATTGTTGGATTTGTTCGGAATGGAAATGTATAAAAATATGTATATAGCCTCAACATCATATATAAAGCTTGTATAACGGGGCACCACTGGACGAATTGGGCTAGTTATCATGCTCTTTCGACGGTGAATCCATCAATCATCTTTATCATATCATTATCAACAGTTCACAGTAATCCCTTGTTCGACTCACGCATACCTATTGGGTCCCAGTAAAACAAAAGTCTGCTTATAGAAGTGGGTTTACCTCGTTGTTGCAACTTGGTCTTGTGTTCAGGGAGACTATGTAGACCTGTATTGCTAGCCTGTCGCCACTAGACATAACTTTTAATAATATATGAAGACCAAGAGTTTTGGGCGAATTTTTTATACTATAAATAAAGAACATTCTTCGCCCAATTTAGTTTAAGGTGATGAAGAACTGGATGGCCAAATCTTTCCATAATAATGTGAGTAGGCTTCGTGCTTTCACTGAATTTCATACATCCCTCGAGGAGAGTATACCTTTTGAGGGGCAATGATATATTAAAAGTAGGTTGACCTAGTTGTTGCAACTTGGTCTTGTTGTCAGGGTGACTTAGTAGGACGCATCTAATCCGAAGTCGTCTGCCATAGTAGTTGTCATGAGTCCCAGCATCAGACAGTGGACTTGGTACGTTCTCGGTCAGCCAGAAAGCTAAGGATCGGATGTACGAGACAATGAGGGGATCCGGGTTGGAGGCCCGAGTCGGATATGCCGATCGAAAGAGAGAGGTCAGGGTAAATAGCAAGCGTGATGGGGCCGCATTAGATTTGCCACAAGTGGAATGTAAACAAGTGATAAATTGTCATAATGCGGCAGTGGGAGAAGAGGGTAAATAGTAGATAGATAGGCCAGGACAGAAAGAGGAATGATAGTGTAACCGTTTGTCGAGGGATTGGCTTCACTTGTCTCCTTGACGAGTTAGTAGCTTGGTGCGGAGAATGGCAAAACTGACTGATGATGCCGACTACGATGCCGACGAAACGTTTGAGAATGTACCAAGTCCATTGTCTGATGCTGGGAATTATGACAACTACTATGGCAGACGACTTCGGACTAGGTTCGTTCTACTAAGTCGTCCTGACAACAAGACGAAGTTGCGACAACGAGGTCAACCCAATTCTATAAATCGAAAGGAGACTGCGACCACACCAGAGGCCACAACATCTTGGTCTTCATATCTTCAATGATATATTAAATTCAATGAAAATATAGGGGCCACTGATAGTATCGTAGCAAATTTAACTGCTCTGAAGTGTTTTCCCATGAACTAAGACACTCGCAGTTCGAATCCAGCTGGAGCCGCAGATGAGACAATGCGCGAAGTTGAGTCTGAAAATTAATTTTCATTAATTTAAACCAAATAGGGCTAATACAGCGTTTAGATAAAACGTATTGAACCTCCACAATAACGCGTTTCCGGCATTAAGCAATCAAAGAGATGGTTGAAAAGCTACATAAAAACTTGATGGTCGGTGGCGGATTTTACGCTATATTAAAACTACTTGGATCTAGCACTGTAGGTTTCGTAAAGTTTACTTATGCCTACGAACAAACATTTGGATTGAGGAATTACATGAACTATCCTAAACAATATATATCCTATAAAAATTCTTACGATTAGACTATATAGATGAAGTGATAGGCTGGTGAGTTTGGTTGACCCGTTTGCTTGAGTAAAGAGTAAAAATTATACTGTTTTGATGATGACGAAAGCTTGACGTGTCTACTCTTGAACCGGAGAAGGATGTTTCGAGAGCAGAATAAACTAAAACATTTCAGTAGTAACAAACTGCAGTCGGCAAAGGCATATCCTTCATAGTTTTCTGATTAGATCGTCTTGTGAATCGCTTCTCAACAAATACTTTCATTTAAAATTAAAGTGAATTTAACATTTGTAAACTAAGATGCTCCTCCTGAAGCAACTTTTCTTCCAATAGAACAACGAACCCCGCTTTATTGTGTTGCATACAAAAGAAGAACTGTATTAACCCCTATTTCATTTAGGGTGGATGAAGGACTGCTAGTTGCTTTTTCCAACGATCATATGAGTAGACCCCTCGTTTCCGTTGAATTTCACATATTCTTTTTTTTTAAAAGGGTATTCACATTCCAGCTGGAGGGGGATACAGATACAATCTCTCTCAGGTCTCGTCAACACCCCAGGTGGACTCGAACCCTGTTAGATTGTGGATTAAGTTCTTCCAAATCGACTAGTTGAGCGCGTCGTGGTGCCCCAGTTTTTGTTTTCCTCCAACACCCAACTCATCTGTACCATTTTTTAACGGCGCGTATTGGATATTCCTTTGGCCCATTCTGTAGCCAGCAAATGCCATTGGCTCAATTGCTTTCGGTCCCGTCAAATGCCTTTAACATATTTGGGGACATTCTGAGGGATCTTAGCGGCGGATGGCACATATGGAGGATGGTATGGGGAAACTGGAGGACGATATCACTTGGAGTCTCCTTCTCAATCTAATTTAGCCTCAATCTGTCCTCACGCCGAATTATAAAGCTTGGATAACGGGGCACCACTGGACGAATTGGGCTAGTTATCATGCTCTTTCGACGGTGAATCCATCAATCATCTTTATCATATCATTATCAACAGTTCACAGTAATCCCTTGTTCGACTCACGCATACCTATTGGGTCCCAGTAAAACAAAAGTCTGCTTATAGAAGGGGGCTGACCTCGTTGTTGCAACTTGGTCTTGTGTTTAAGGAGACTATGTAGACCTGTATTGCTAGCGTGTCGCCACTAGACATAACTTTTAATAATATATGAAGACCAAGATGTTGTGGCCTCTGTTATGGTCGCAG